AACCCTGCACTGCAAGTGTCAATATCCAGGCCCTCACTCCAACGTGCTGATGGATGGGGACCTACAGAGGAAATTACATCGTTATCTAATCTGACAAAGCTAGGCAGACCACACCAACTTGCTACTGGTTTTATCCTCAGTGAATAAAATAAGGCAGATATCTCTACAAACCAGCAGACTGCGCCACATGGATTTTATGAATAGGCCAAGGGGATATTTCGGCCCTGGTGAGCTTGCACGTTGGCTATTGGCTACTTTTAGCCATGTCAAGATTATCAAAGTTTTATCCTCTTTGTGACAGGAGGACAGGATAGCTCCTTATCCACCTCAGCTGAGGGGCTGAAACCTAATGCTGGGACAGTGTGTGAGGACGGAATAGTAATATCTCAGCGAATGTTTCTAATGGCAAGATGGGTAGGACATGTAGAAGACGAATACTGATGAGCTTGCCTTAAGAGCCGTAATTTGCTACTCTCATGGGAATCATGGAATATTTTTGTAAAGCTTACTTGGAGATTAAAGTTGTGCAAGCATGTCGGAGAGCCGTGCTCACTTGCTGTACATGAGTATCACAGCAGGGAGGCTGAGATTCTCTGGTGTCTAGATTTTATAGATGCCTCTTCATGAGTGCAGACAATGAAAGAGCTATTAGGGCATATTAAAAAAATGTCAGTTATTAAGTTCCTTCTTCTGAGAAATGCTCTGCCCTTGCGACATTTCAAACTTGGCATTTAAATAAACAAACTAAACCCAAATCAGACCCAGTGTCACATGAGCAATATTTAAAAAACAGGCAGCCAAGACAGTCTGGCTCCTACACCAACCATAAACAGGACGAGTTAAGCCAACAATTCATTTAACTACATTCAAACACAGGGAGCCTCAAAGCCACTAACGTCACACAGGAGGAAGGCAAACGGGCTCTAATGGACACTAATACCAAGCAGTGAGGCATTAATGATTACAAGCTTGTTAACCGAACCCCTTGACAAAAAGGACGACAGCAGCTCAGCATAAATAATCACATGCAGATTAGGATCAATGAACAAATACTTAAGACATTCAATTATTAAGATACTGAAAACCATGATGTTAGTGAAGAAGGAAAGGTGAATGCTTAGAGAGGGCTCTAACCTCTTTGAGTTTACCCACACCACTGGACTTGGTCATATTATTGGTGAATGTAAAAAAAATGACATATAACTATGAAAGAAAAGGCAACTGAATACGAATCCTTTACTTTCTATAAATTATCTGATAGACAAACTCGATAAAGGTACCCCTGGGTTACATCCCTAAACCAAAGAAATATTTGCCACCAAAAGGTTCAACTTCAGATTTACAGAAAACAGAAAGAAATCTTTATGTCGTTCTTTGACTTGGCAGCTCTTGGCGAGGAGAGCTACAGTCAGCCTACTGTTCACCCAGTTATGCTACCTCAGGTTGGTAGTGCTGTCTTTTATTTAAACATTTCTCTTGCACTTTCGGCCTTTTAACCATTTCTGTTGCTTGAAGGTGTAAACATAAGAAACAAATATGTGCATACATTTAAAGTTATCTTACATTAGCCAGTGAAGCAGGATTATTCAAAATGAGATGTATTCGGCTTATTCTGCTCTGCAGTTCATGAAATAATGGCCTACGGATATTGTAAAACTGTAACCTGGCTACATAGCTATTAGTCAGAAGTAAAAACACTGCAACTTTTCAGTCAAGGCTCAGTTTTACCCTTAATGTTTGAGGTCTCTGTATCTTCTCCTCTTCCTGTAATGAGGTAATCTATGTAAACATTTTGCTCCTGAAACCTGTTCTCCAAACATTTTACAATCAAAGAGGTTCTAAAATGAATCCTGTCATTCTATACTGAACCATTTAGGGGGGCATTTATGTACCGAGATGTAGAACCTAACATGGTTAAAGCACTTGTTTTAACAGCGTATCATGGTTGATTTTCAACCCCCTCTTTCCCGTCTTTTGACAACTGAGCACATTCTCAACTAACAGATCATAAATACCTTTAGAAAAATCTCTACAAGAGATTCAGAGTGGTGCACAAATGCAAAACAATGCATGGTTAAGGATCTAAATGAAGTCTGATTCAATGGATGTACAGTGAAAAGGAGGAAACAGATGTGGAAGCTGAAGATTAGATTCCTGTCAGGCCCGCTCTCATGCACAACTCTGCTCTCAGTCTAGCAACATGCTGGCTTCAAATGCCACCACTGACTACCTTTCTCATAATTCACCCCCACACAGCAAAAACTGCTGAACAGAGGTTTTGTCCAGATGATCAGCTGATTGATCCACACATCTATCCATGCAGACACTCAAGTGTGGACTATTAGGCTTGGCAACAAATGAGAACGGCCAGTCTGGCTGTTCTGTTTCCAGAACAGGTTATACATTTGGCATATGGTCAAGGGCAGTGATTAAGCCATTCTGAGGACTGCCTTACTGAAAGGTAGAATAAAGCTTCGTCAATGCAGCCATACAGAACTGGGACAAATTTAGACATAGTGAGATTTCTAAGCTACTGCATAATAGGATCTCATTATAGACCCAGATAAGGCTGGGATAATATTATGATGGCTGAACCATGACTAAAAGCTTAATTTATCTTCAGTATTTTTTATGATGAGTTGTGGTCATGCTGTGAAGATATAAATAATTCTGTACTAATGTGTTCTAATTCAATCTCTGTGGGAAACACAAACTGTCAGGCGTCAGTAAGCCAAACACAGTAACACACCATGGACAGTGTGTGTGTGTGTGTGTGTGTGTGAGCCAGTGCTGACCCCAGGTCTCATCCTCCGTTACACCAAATGGCCTGTTGGCAACAGTGAGACCTTTAACACACTGTGGCCTAGGAATAAAAAAAGATTTGTGTCCCTGGCAGTCTGCTGTACATGAGTGCATATGAGGGAGTGGTATAGTTCTTTAGTTTTAACCCCTGCACGTCTGCCTTTGTGGCTGCCAAACAAAGTTGGCAACATGAAAATCTGAAATTTTCCTACCGTTGCACTAGTCGCATGTTATTCTGGTTAAGCGACTTTAGATAAAGGTATACCACTACTCAGTGGCTTGTGCTGTAAACGTGTGGCTTTGGACTGCAGCCACACACAAGGCCAGATGACTGGGTTCCACATAATGGACGGAATGGATGCGTGTTTGAGAATGTGGAAGCATGGCCTAGTTTGGACACAGCTCAATCCTCTGGGCCTTTTACTGGGAAATAAAGGAGCAACAGAGTAAAGTCTTAATCCTTACCCTTGAACCATCTGCTGGGGGATGAACCTTAAAGTATAGAGTAACCTGAACCCCAGAAAAAAAAGGATTACTGATCATTTAAAAGATATGAACAGCAAAAACTCTGACTTATACTATTTGCAAACAAAATGGCTGTATTGCTGATCTCAAACTAAATCATAATACATGCTTACAACACAAGCTCTACACAGGACACTAAGGAGTGCTAGGATTGTTAAAGATACAACCTACTGGCACATCCCACAAACACCATATGTTTCCTTCAGTCTTGGTCATTAACCTGAGACAGAGAGTGCAAAACCACTGAGGGTGCTGCTGAAACATTTTCTGTCTGCATGAATCATCCAGGTGGGCCAGATCTTGCACTTAGTGCATCTTGCTTATGTTAAACTAAAATGTGATATAGATGTGAATAAAGAAATTCATGATTTAATGGTACAAATTCACACACAACATTAGATTCAAAAAGATAATAACTGCAGACATACTACAAGTACAAAATGGGACATATGATTTATGGTCTTTAAAAAACATCACACCCTCAGAGGATGAGGAGCCAAATTCAACAGTTTTACTCTTCTGCAGACAGACTGAGTCTGGGATAAATGTTGGGTGATGTATCGCTACAGTTGTTGGTCTAGTTCAGGGGTCCCCATAATGATTTTCAAGCCCCCTCAAATTTCCCTGTGGATGTGAGATTGAACATGAGTTGATTTCATTGATAATCTATTCACCTTGGAGGTAAGCACTAAAGGAGAATGTATGTGGGAATGATGATTCACACCAGAGATATCAGTCTCTCTGCTGTCACCTCCCATTGCTACAACGTCAGCTTTGCATTTAAGTCATAGCATTAACTTCCTCATTTATCAGATGGAGGGGCATGGGATGAAAGCCTTACTACTTGGGGGTCCTTGGCATGATTGTGATGCTGGCTGATAGGATCTGTGACTATGCAATCATCCTGATTGCAGCTGGTGTGGATAGCCCAGTGTCCCCAGATTGTCAGAACCCTTGAACTGAATTAAAATCTGCTTTTGAGACAGTAAGGACCTGTTGGCCTTAGTCAGGGGTTGCCTGTAGACCTCATCTGATCACATTTTCTCCAGAGGGAAACCCTAAATAAGGGTCTAGAGCCAAGGTGGGGCGTGGTAGTAGATGCACTGAAACCTAGGTGGAGACCCCTGCAGGACTCCACTTTGGGAACCCCTTACCTATAATAATTATAATGCTTCTTGATAAGTGGTGTGACACTGTAACTATCCCAACTGAATGTGCATGAATCAAACGCAACCGCCTAAACACAGCCGCCTGCTGGACCAACCATTTTAATTGTATCAACAACTGCCTGCGGCATTTATTCAATGGAAAGTGAGTATCTGCGGCCTAAGATGTGGTCTCGTGCACGACCATTGCTTTTTTTAAATTTTTTTTTTAACTTGCATGGCTTATTGGAAGTTTGCCTTGCAGGTACTACGGCTGAATGGGCCGTCTCAGGCTGCACAGGAAGGCAGCATCTAAGGCTGCTCTTTGCAATCCCATTTCAGAACCGCTGCGAGATTCCCCGTTGGGATAGATACACTCGTATAAAACCACTTATTCCACCTAAGTGGCTGAATCCACCCATGCAAACTTCGAGCTGCAATCCACTCTTGTCTGTGTAATCTCAAGGCACACGGTCTATAAAAACACAGGCATGCACAGAATAAGAAAAAGAAGCGACACAAACTTACGTGAAAACGAAAAATAAAGTGGTCGAACCCACAAGGAGTGTGGCAGCAGTGGACACTGGGATGTATTTGGTGGGTTTAAATCTCTTTCCAGCGCTGTTGGGCATTCTGTAATTTCCACATTCCTCAATTATTTATTCCGATTGGAGACGCATGTAGAAAAATGATCCAGTGTCCAGTATAGTGGCCGTTGTTTGGCTATGAAAGGTACAACCAGTCCGTCTTTGCTATCGTTGAAGCCGCATAGATCCTAAGATAGAGAGGCAGGAATACATAGAGCTCTGTGAAAGCCTGGAAATCCCACCCTTACAATCCAGCCTACTAGTGAGGTCACTGAACCGCTTGAAAAAAGGTGGAGCCTCTCTGCAAACCTTGCAAGTGTCTTCTCAAGAAAATTGTCGGAGCTGTATGATGTCGATTATTTTGCATTTCAGCGGGAAGCATATGAGTCACCCTGCAATCGTTTTTTTCCCCGGGAGACTTCGCGAATATAACTGCCTTCCCACACATATTCAACGATTGAAACAATCTCCATGCTTACTTGATGAATTTAATAACATAATGTGTCTCAAAGTTTAGGATAAGTCGATGTTTTCATATTTTCTAACCCTTAAAGCTGCACTGCAGGTAGCTCCAGATAAAGTGTTCCTTGACTGAGGGAATGACACCAAACTCCGTTATTTACAAGCTCACACAGATGGCATCACACATTACAGTATCTACTTTAACTATCAATTTCGGTATGGTCATTGTATACCAGTAAGTATGCATTTATATAAAAAAAAAAACAGTTGTTGAAATGACTACTTATTCCTCTCATTGTCTCATGTCACTAAAATGGTCTGTGGAAAGCAGCAGGGACAACGTAAAGTTGAAATTACATATGCATCATGTGTTGATTTGTGGGGATTTAAACTGAAGAGCAGTATTTCAGATGCAGAAACATGTGGCCCCACTGAATGTTACATGTTGAATTGTGTTTATAGTGCCTCTTCAACAGAGAGCGGAAAAATATGAATTACTCATTATACGCTATAGTTATTGCTATAGATTTAGGGATTAGAGCGCCCTCGTGTGGCACAATTTGGGATTTATGTGAAAAGCGAAACCCAATTGTTTTGGCCCCGGCTGGCCACCGTACTGTTTGTAGGAAGCTGAATAGATTAGCTTGCTATCTGTTGTGCCGACTGTAGTTTCAATTTCTGGCCAAAGGTCGCCGCGCATTAGATGCCACATAAAGCGTGTTTTGTTTTGTCTTGCTGGAGTTGGAATTAACAGCCAAACGTCATTTAGCAAATCAATACTATACATTTGTGCGGCGAGACAGCGATACACCTCGTTAACGGTGGACTCGTTAAGCTGAGCTAATTAGCTAGCAATAGTTTGCTTCCTCGGCGGTTCACAGGATGTCGTACAGGAAAACTTTAAAACTTATTTGTGGGTTCGCCGGAGGCTCTGCTGTACTGGTGTTCGCCGCTGCCGCTGCCGACTCCCGCGGATACTTCGGAGAGCAGCGCGGAGAGGCGGCCAGTCGGTGGCCGAAATTCACCGTTCTTCGAGCTGCGCAGCCGGCGTGGACACCTGCCAAACACACACCAGCCCCGACAGGACACGCCTGGGACTTCAACTGGGACAAGTATGTGCCTCTACACGCGTTGTCTCTTGACTCATTATTTGAACATAACTATCACCGATATATTCCCTCCGTTTTCCACCTTTCTCTTTTGTATGTTATTCAAAATCTCTGTTAAATATCCACGAGTTTAACAGCCTGCTGTGCACCACGGTGAAGTTTAGGTTGGTTTTGGTGAAAGAAGATATTGGACTAAAGTTCACGTTTTGCTAAATTGAATAGGCATTTTTGCATGCCGAATCTAAGGATGGACCAAGAGGATTTGTCAGAAGTCACGATCCTTATTCCTCGAATTACACTGTTGCTGGCTAGACAGTCAGCTATAAATGGTTCATTTTTAAAATGGAGTTTGGGGTAGAGATTCTCCACACTTAGATGTATGTAAATTCTTGAAAGTTTCATAGTGATCATCATCTTAAATCATAGAGGTGTTAACCCAGATTTTCATGCCTCAAGTTAACCATGCCAGACAAAGCCACTTCTAATCTCAAGATCACGTCGTCTTAACTCTGTGCAGGAGGGACCCATCTGTACTGTCCAACGGGAAGAAGAAAGAGAGTGCAACTGAGGATCCCAGCTCCGAGCAGGACAATGGAAAACCCAAAGCTACACGCAACATTCTCCTCATCAGACACTCTCAGTACAACCTGAGTGGGAACAGCGACAAGGAGAGGATCCTCACTCCATTAGGTCGAGTTATTTAATGGCTAGTCAAAGGACCAGTGTGAAGGATTTGGAGGGATCTATTGACAGTTTTCATGATTTGTATGATGAAACAGAAACTAAAAACTGCTGTGCTTCCTTAGCTTAGAATGAGGTCTTCGTGTCTACATGTCAACTATGGCCATGTTCCAGTGTGAGAACATGTCAACTCAACCCAATTAATATGCAAGAGATGGCAATGTGATTCGTTCTACGTATGCTGAATTTGTATTTCCGTGCAAGAGATCCTCTTCCACAGAGCCTCCGGTGTTGCACTGCCATGTTTCTTGCTTCATTTTTACCTTGATTGCTTTACTTTTTCTTAAGGTTTTACTATGACTACTATTTTACTAATTTGGCCTTTTGTTATTTATACTTTCAATTGTTTTTCATTGTGTTTCTTGGTGACTATGGTCTTATTTGACAATATTGTAAGTGAGGTCTCTAAGTCAGTGTATGTCTAAAGTAAAATAAAGGTTGAATGAGTATTTTTACAGTAGCCCAGAATGGACAAACAAAACACAGGCTCTAGACAGAACCTTTTGTGTTTTTACATTACCTGAGGGAGTGGGGGGTGAGGTGATGTGAGGTGATGTGAGGTGAGGTGAGGTGAGGTGCGGTGAGGTGAAGTGAGGTATATTCAGTTGGTTGCAGTCTGCAACCTCACCTCTAGAAGCCACTAACACACTGGTCCTTCAGTTATAACCCTTTATGTCACTCGGAAGGTATGCCACACAACGGTCTGGGGAGTAATTTTAGTCAAAGAACTTCAGATATATGTTTGGCCCTGTTGCAGGCTGTTCTGTCTCTGTGTGGAGAGAGTATCCCTTCTCTTGGTTGTTGTCCCACCCAACTTTTTTGATGACAGATCTGACAGTCATTTGTTATAATGACTGTTGTCTCCGCTTCCAGGTCGTGAGCAGGCAGAGTTGACAGGCCAGAGGTTGGCAGCACTGGGACTGAAGTACGATGTCCTGATTCACTCCAGCATGGCCAGGGCCACAGAGACTGCACATATCATCAGCAAACACCTTCCAGGTAGTGAATAGACCACGCTGCCTATCAGTACTGCACTGTCAGACACCCAGCCTTCTTACTTCTCCAAGTTGGGAAAACTGTGTAAAGTAAATTTGTTAATTTGTAAGGCTTTGAAACATCAGATTTACTGCTGTTACATTGTCAAGGTTACAAACCATACAATTCCATACATATACACTCGCATACTTCCATTTGACACATTCTGCTATTGAAATTGCCTGGAATACATGACTTTGTTGAAAAACATTTGTTATTCGTATCCTGCTGATCTTTGTTCTCCCTCTTTTCTTTTTAGCATCAGTACCAGTTACAGCTGGCGCAGAAATGCTGAACGTCACAAATGTATATTAACATTTTTTCCCCTCCTCCAAATGTCATACGGGTCCAGGAGTGGATCTGGTGAGCTGTGATTTGCTGAGAGAGGGCGCGCCCATCGAGCCGGTTCCACCTGTCACTCACTGGAAGCCTGATGCTGTGGTGAGAGAAGCTACACCCACTCTACCTCTAGGGTGGGCTGTAGGCCAGATTTTCTGCATTCGCATATCCTTGTATAGGTAACTTTGTGCCACCCGCATGTCTGTGCAAGTGCTTTTTTTACACTTGCAGCTGCAAAAATCAGCCAATACATCAGTGCAATGCCACAGGAATGGACCACGGGAAGAGTTAATTTCCAAAATGCCAACGTTAAAGGGAGTCTGGCAGCTGTGGATCAATCTTTTTATCATTGTTGCCATTGTTAGATTGTCACTGGCAAGGAGCATTTAGTTGACATGTTATTTTATTAGTTAAGGGATCGATTCCCTCAACTGAAAAAAATAATCATGCAGGGAAACTGTTATTCTTCACAGCTTTGAAAAATAAAATTTGAAAAATTTAACAGTAACAATATGTGTTTTTATCTTGGAAGACGTCTATCTAAAAGAGCTTAGAACATAAGACACGGACATAATTAGACTATGCCTCTATAAACAACCCTTGTAAACATATTATTCAGTAATTCCTTACTCTAAATGTTGGACATAATAGATTATTAATAATATTCTACAGAGAGCGCACAGCAGCAGTTTTCTGCCCTAAGTGACTCAGTAGTGATTTAGCCTTTATAGGAAGGGATGTTTTCCATATGGTTGGCCTTATTTTGGAATGACACTCTTCATACATTCCCTACACTGTACAGCAGCATCATGTATTGACTCTGTACTGACTGAGGGGTTCAGACCGAACCCCTTTCATGTGACAAAGGTGGCTTTCAACCTCTCTACCGTCCTCCAGCAGTACCATGAAGATGGAGCTCGCATTGAGGCAGCCTTCCGCCGCTACATCCACCGGGCTGACCCCAAGCAGAAGGAGGACAGCTATGAGATCATCGTGTGTCATGCCAATGTCATCCGTTATTTTGTCTGCAGGTTTGTGTCGCCGGCGGGCATGGTGATCGCGGCTCGGCCGAGGCCAGAGTGTGGCCTCTTGCTTTGCTAACCATTGTGTTTAAACTATGCTGTAGTTATGTCTCATACGATTTTAAGTTTTGAATTTGTGCTTCAGTTGTGTCACTGTGCTCTTGATGAAACCCTTTAAGGAAAATTCCTGTTTGATTTAAATACTGTAGCTGCCTTGTGCTTTTCTTGGTGACTGCTTGCCCTGTGCTTCTGGTTAAAAGGGATATTTAGTAAATTCATCTAATTAATTATGAGAGATTAATATCTTCCAAATGATCACTTATTGGACAATATCACACACAAATAATGAAATAAATGCCTTGTCATTTTATAGTAGCTTCAGTACGCAGATGCTCATTCTCAGCTACTCGTATCCGTCTTCTGTTCTCTCAGGGCCCTGCAGTTTCCTCCAGAGGGCTGGTTACGTATGGGGTTGAACAACGGCAGCATCACGTGGCTTACCATCCGACCTAGTGGCAGGGTGGCCCTCAGAACTCTGGGAGA